CTTTTGATGGGATATCCACAAACCTGTTTATGGCCTCTCTTCTTTCTCACCCCGGGGGTTTTTATGGAGATGCATCCATGGCTCTCTGAGTTTAGGTTCCTGCTGTGACCACTCACATCATTCACAGCTATGACACCCACCTCTCTGCCCTACTTGTGGAACTTGATGACTCGGCACGTGCACAACCAAAGAGATCAGGTTGAGAAGCTTCCCGTGTTTTCAGGACCCATTTGTCATTCCTTGCCTGAAATGCCTCTGTCTGTAGTCTTAGCTTTGTCCGCTGGGCTTATGATGGTTTTCTTTCTGACTTATTTTGAGATGATTGTCTCTTGACTTGCCTACATTTTTGTTTTGATGCTATTGTTTGCATTAGTATTTCCTTTATGATATATCCCTCTCATATCAACCTTCTATTCAAAGATCATTAAAAATAATTCTTCCTGAGTTTCTTGAATACTTTTGTTATTTAAAATCACAATAGCTTCTGTTTGTGATACACCAAGAATTAATTTACATTTGAGGCATGCACTAGAAACTGTTTTCCCCTGAGTAGCTATTTATCACTTTGTGTGTGTGAACTTAAACTTAGTGCTCTATATAGTTCATTTTTGTTGCTCTTTCCCCTAATTAAGTATAATTTGAATGGGGAATAAATTATCCTACGGTTCTACTGTTATTTTTTTTATTGTTTCACTCTGAAAAGTGTCTGTGCAAGCATGCACACGTGCCTGTTATACATGTGGGTGCAAATATGCACACCTGCTGTGAACGTTTGTGCAAAGTCTAGTCCTAAAGTTCTGCACTGGCAAGAATAAGCTTCAGTTGTGAGAGATATCTGCCCTATGGATGAGGGTACAGACCTGGGTGGAGGAGCACAGCGCCATCGTAAAACCAAGGTTAGAATTTTGGCAGGGCTGTCCCTGGTCGCTTTCAGATGACTGCTGTGTTTGCCAAATGTTCCATTTTCATATTAGTGGAGCGCTGAGGTCAGGATTTAGCTTCTCGAAATGGAGTTGTACTGAGTGGAATGCTAAGAAGCAATCTCTATTATTAAAAAAATAGCAAAATTGGTACCTGGGTTCCAAAAAGGAATTAAATGAAATTATACCAAACTAAGTTATTGCTAAATGAGCAAATTGAGACAGTACTCCTCACTAAAACATGCAGGAAGGAAATTGAGAATAGCAACATTTAAAATTAGACCTTGGAGTTAAAGTAACTAATTGCAGACATCTAAATATTGCTGCTTTTAATGGTGTGTCATTTCTGTTTCAAGCAGAAATAGACACCATCTCTGGTTGAAGTAAGGACTGGTCACATGTGATCACATGAACATTAGAAACAGATCTGTGGCCATTCTATGGCAGCGCATTTTTTTCTGAAAAGCATGTTGATTTGAAGATCTCAGAAAATTCTGAGAGCTCACAGGGGTATCCTTGGGGCTCATTTGGAGAGTGTGAGCTCAGGAAGAGTTATATGGTGACTGTGCTTGTGACTGTGCTCTGGGAACATCATAGGTCTCCCTGAGAGGACTTTCTGTCTGTAATGTGTCAGGCTGTTCCCTGTCTTCTGAAAACTGAACTCCTGTCTCTCCCTGGAGTAGAAACCAGTTGCAAATGGCTCAGAGCTGACTAGGTTAGATTTCTGATAGTGGGAGTCCTTTTGGAGAACTGTTTGTAAAACTCTTGACTTCCTATGTTGTTCTATGTTGGTGGGCACAAAAATCTAGGAATCATTGAGGTTGTTAAAAGAATGACCAAGGTAAGGTGTTCTGTACATATCATCTCTTTAGCTTGTTGAGACCATCAAAGATTTGGCTACTTTGTTGGGCTAAGGCCATCTCTTGACTTAACAAATATAATGCAGAAGTTCTAGGTGATTTGATAGCTTTTTCTGGCCTATACATATGTGTTACACATACACACACTCATATAAACATATGCTCACATAAAATTGAAACTAAATAAATAAAACCAATTAGGCATGGTGGCCCATGTTTGTAGTCTCAGTGTTGGGGAGGTGAAGTCAGGAGCGTGTCTGGGGTTTATTAACCAGTCAGTCTTCAGAATTAGTACATTTCAGGCCAGTGAGAGACCCTGTCCCAGAAAACAAGGTAGGCAGTGTCTTGAGTAACAACACCCAAAGGTTAACTTCAGGCCTCCATATGCATCCACATAATCATGCAAAATTGACTAGGAATGGTAGTGGGGAGATGGCTCAGTGGGTAAGAGCACATCCTTCTCTTGCAGAGGACACAAATTTGGTTCCCCAAACTCACACTGGGTAGCTCACAACCACCTCTAACTCCAACTCTTGAGGATCCAGTTGCCCTCTTCTGGTCGTTGAGGGCACTGCACTCACATAGGCACACATTCCCATCACCTATATACACACAGTTAAAAATAAAACTTGCCTTAAAATATTAAACAGGTAAAACAGATATTGAGACTTCTATAAAAGACAGCATAGGTGCTGGGGAAATGACTCAGCAGATATGACTCATGTGCAGGCATGAGGACCTGAGTTCAAATCCTCAGCACTTGTTAAACAAAACCAGGCTTGTTTGCACATGCCTGTAACACCTTTGCTGTAGGGGGAAGTGTAGAGGAAGGAGGATTTCTGAGTCTTACTGGCTGCCAGCCTCGTTGCAGATTCAGTAAGAGACTTTGCATCAAAGGAATTAGGGGAAGAGTTACAGAATAGGACCCCTAGCACCATTCTCAGGCCTCTGCATGTACACAGGAGTGTGTGCATTCATATACCTGTAGACACATACACACACAGATTAACTCATTAGTTCGAAAGGACAGCACATTCATGTTCTGAAAGCAAACGGGGGCTTTGCTTTTAGCAGATTTTAGATGGCACATATTTGATCGCTTTGGTAGCAGCGCTGTTAGATGGCTATTATACAATAAATCAGAGCAGCGTTGTCATCCCAAACATCTGCTCTGGCTTCAGTTTTCCAGGTCAGGATGACTCATTCTGTGCAGGCTTCCTGGCGCCTGAACCGTCAAAAACCCATTTTCCTTCCCTCTCTCCACAATGCATTGAATGGCAAACATGAAGCTCGCCTCCGTGGTCGCTGCCCTAATTTGGCAAGGATATCTAACGCAATGCAGTTGCATTGTGATTGTGATTATTTTTCAACAATTAATTTTTCATTAACCGTGAGGAGTAGTCCACTGGGGAAGCTGTCTCTCTGTCTGTCTCTCAGGAGCCATTGTCTCCATGCTCACCCAGCCTATCTCTTGGCCCTGTTTATTTTTTTCCCATTTTCCTGCAATATTTTCTCCCTCTTTATGTGGGAGTTGAGAAGTTTTCCCAGCTTCTTTAGGCATTCCTAACTTGAGGTCACCTTCAGCCCTTCTCCCAGTGGTTTTCATTGAAAGTGAGTTGCAGTGTTGAGCTGTGGGTGCCTTCAAGGTCATTGGAGTTGCCTTCGTAGCTTGCCATACCTGCGTGGGAACCTACATAGCCTCCTTGTCTAGACTCTTCTTTATTTCAAATTCTCCAGTCCCCATAGGTTAAGACCCGTGCATGGGACTCCTGCCAAACTGGGATGGACGCTATGAGTGTCCCCCATCCCTTGACTCAGGACAAAGCCTGGCATGTAGAACTGCTCAAGAGACAGTGTCTTGTGCGTCCGACCTGCACACAGTCTCACCCTCGTGTCATGGAGTTCCTTAACTCCTCTTCAGTTCTCTGGATTTTCAAATACAGCAGTTCCTTGACGTTTAAACCTACTGCAAACAAAATTATTGTGGAAAATCCTGAACTTATAGAATGTGCTAGAACATGCTAGTTTAGCAGCAGAGGACTTTAGTGTTGGTGGTTTCTGCTGCTGATCATGGTGCTGGCTTGGAGCTGAGGGTTGCTGCAGATGTCCAGCACTCAGAGAAGGTCCTGTGGATGGAATCAAAGGAAATTATGGTAAACAAAGTGAGCCTGACTCAGAAACACAAGTGCCATGTACTACTTTCTCATATGCAGAAGCTGAAAACAGTGGACTTAAGTGATTACCAGAGGTTAGGGAAGATGTGGGGGTGGGGGTGGGTGTGTAGGATACATGAAGATGGATCAAGAAAGGCTGGACTTGATACGTGCATGTTATGGGATATATGTTGATTACATACCATGATCTGAATGCATATTTACCAAAAATAAAATATTTTAGAACTAGAAACTTTAGAAAAAGTTACAATAAAAAATTCAAAGTATGATTTCTACTGAATATGAATCACCTTCATACGACCATAAAGCCAGAAAACCCTAAGTTGAGTGATATACTATTTATTTGTTTTTACGTTTTGAGACATGGTCTCATGTAGCCCAGGCTGGTCTCACACTCACCATTTAGGTGAAGATGACCTTGAACCTCTGGCCTTCCTGTTCCTAACTCCAGAGTGCTAGGATTATTGGCATGTGCTACCAAGCCTGCTTGTATGCGGGGCTGGGGCTTTAGAAGGGTTGGCCAAGCACTCCACTAGTAAGCTATAGCCCTAGCTTGCTGGCTGTGTTTAAAACTGCAGAAGCTAGGAGTCAAACAATGAGCACCATGCTTCCTCCAGACCTTTGAATCTGCTTCAGAAGGATCTCTGTGAGCTGCAATGGCTGGATAGGCTTGATCCTGGTGCTCTGACCATGTTAGGACATTTCTAAAGGCACAGTGATTGACCTAATGAAAATCACATTGGGGAGAGTGCATATCCGGTGCTGATTTTGAATATGAAATCTTAGTTAATTGTAAGAGAAAAAGGAAACGTGGCACTGATCATGGTGTCACCACACTAAGAAAGAGGCAGGATATGGCAAAAAGTTTTAAGATAACCTGCCGGTGCTTGGCTTAATTCTGCTTGTTGGAGGAGAGGTACTTGGAGGGCCAATTTTCTATGCTAAAATAAGCAGGCAGTTATTTCCTCTGGACCTTTGAGTGCAGACAATCTGAGTTGCATAACTCTGACTGGCATGTAATAAAATGAATCTCTCCCTGCCCTCAGGGAAGCCATCAGTCGTGTCTGCGAAGCTGTGCCAGGTGCCAAAGGAGCCTTCAAGAAGAGAAAGGTACTGTGGCTCTCACCATGTGTCTGCCTCCTCCTTCATGTCCTTTCAGGGCCACACTCCAGGTCTTCGCCCACATAATTGTCCCCTGTCTTCTTACAGGACCTGGATCTTGTCTTTCTTAAGGGAAAGCACCTAGCTAAGGCTAAAGCATCCCTGCCCTGTCTCTCTCAAGCAAATGCTGTAGATAAACCCTGGAGACAGGGATAACAATCAACACCTGACCAAGCATCCCTTTAAGCCCATTACGTAACATGAATTCATCTGCCCCTAACAGCTCATGTAGCAGCTACCCCAGTAGTACATGCTAGCTAATGCTTAAGAACTGGATTTTGGGGTTGGGAGGGGGAAGCAGGACCTTGCATTTATAAGATGCCGGTTACTGTGGTGTAAATACGTCCATGTGGTTCAAGCTTTCAACACAAGGTTCCTGGAAAGAGTGAGGAAGACACACAGCAGTTCGTCACTGTGTCGCATTTTCTTCAGGTGCAGCAGATGGGACCTGACGGCGCAGGTTCACATAGCATGGGACCAGGTAGTAAAACAGCCAGGACTCAAGACGTATTTCACCATCTGTAGGTGCCATCTATGTAGTCGTGAGTTCATATAAGTTAACTTTCAGTAATAGCTGGGCTTGGGGGTCAGAACATTTCTAAAGGCATGACAAATGGCTTTCCTGAGTCGGCTCAGCCATGCCACTGGAAAGCCCGATGTTATTGATGACAACAATTGAGGCTTTGGGCTGAGAAGTCACAATGTGAATAGGAGCTGGGGCCATGGTCAACCTGTTTCAGAGGCTGGGTGTTCAACTACGCTTCTGGAACCTTCCATCCTGTATATGGTTGAATTAGGAGGGGAAATATCTGGGGGCTAGGGAGATAGCTCAGCTGACAAAGTGCTTGTTGCATAAACATAAAGACCTGAGTCTATATCTCCAGCATCCATGTAAAAAGCCTGGCATGGCAGCACATGCCTGTAACCCCAGTGCTGAAGAAACAGACAGGCCGATCCTGGCGCCTCACTGGCTAGCCAGGGTTGCGGAATTGCTATGTTCCAGGTTCTTTGTGAGACTCTGTCTTCAAATATAAGGAAGAGAGTTTTAGGGAAGACTCCTGATGACCTCCCATCTCTACATGTGTGCACACATCTGTGCACACGTGTGTGCGCACACACACACATAGTATAAATAACCCACCACCTACAATCATGACTTTTATCTACCTAGAAGGGATTTGTGGGAAAGTATATCACAGAGGGCCCTGTATCTGCTCCACACTGAGCTTTCAGGTTCCAGATGGTTTTGCCTCTAAGTCACTTCTGTCTTCAGAACTGGGGACATTTGTAAACCTATAGGGCAACTGGATCTGGGGCACAGAACTTGGCAGCTCAGGTTATGTGATGGCCAGTCCCCTGCAGGTCCTGGGAACCAAGTAAAGCTCCCAGATCTCGAATATAGGAGGCCAGGTGTCCCTTGGGAACAGCAAGGAGGACTATTGTCTCTCAGAACAGGTGGTCCTAACAGGTCTGTGATCCCCTTATGTTTCTCTTGGTTGGAAGGGATGGAAGTAATGAGAACTTTCTAGGCTGTGCCCAGATGCACTTGACCTGACTCTCTCACACAAGGGAGATGGGTTCTCTAAAGGGTCCTTTTGAAGTATTAAATAAAAAGAAAAAGGAAAAATGTCATGGCAGGGATCCTAAAGGAAACAGCATCTATCTGGGGAACAAAGTGTGCAGTTTGGGCATGCCAAACCAGGGCAACCCCTGGAGGTAAGTTCAGCAGAGATTTATTCTTTTAAAATAGAGAATTTCCATTAAATGCTGTCTTTGAAGACAGTTCATTGGCTAGGCAGACACCCTAAACTGTAAATCTATTCTGATTGGTCCATTAACTAGGCTACTCCCCACTGAGAGGTTGGTGTGCAAGGCCGGCAGGTCTGGATTTGGCTTCTTATCTGAGGCACAGGAACATCCTGTGGTCTGAGCTTCAGCAGAGGGATGTGACCTTCCCTGTTTCCCGGCTCCACTTTAGACAACCTTAGCTGCTGCATTGTGTCTCCTAGTGGATTAAAGGACTGTGCCTCTGCTCAGGGCCTGTTTGGCAGAGTGAGCAGAGGATGTTGTAACCAAACGGAAAGGGTAAGCAGGAGAGGGGTTCGGTGTGTGCCCAGGGGTCTGACAGTGCTTGGCTGGACACTGAAGCTCTTCCATGTCTCTGTAAGGACTTTGTTGACAGGTGAGGGAGACACTGGCCACAGCAGCCTCTCTCTCTCACCCTGCCCAGGCTCTAGGCAGTCAGATTCTAATTGGACCGCCCATGTGAGCCCTTAACAGAGATTCCCTTCGGGAGAGAGCCTCGGGACCCTCTGAGGTTGCTTCTGAGCCTCGGGACCCTCTGAGGTTGCTCCTGAGCCTCAGGACCCTCTGAAGTTGCTCCTGAGCCTCGGCGCCATCCAGCTTTCACTCCTCTAAGCAACAGTCTGAGCACTGGTGTGCCGAGACAAGGGTTGCATGTCGGCAAAGCTGTGAGGTCTCTGCAAGTTTGCATCTACGACCCAGGAGACACCAGCATATGGTCAAGGCAGCCAGGAAGACCAGCAATTCTCCCCAGAACTGACATATTAGGCACTTATGATTTCATACCTCATATTACTGAGTGTGTACATTGGCAAGGGCTCTTATCTTCCCAGCTCCCCCATTTTACATTTGTCTGTCTTCTGGCACTTCAGTGGGGGAGGAGCAGTCAGTGAGATATACTGGTATCTCTGCCTCGACCCTTTCAGTCAGAGTCTGGATCTAAAGCTAATCAATTCCCCCCCTTGGATTTCACAGCCTCCGAATAAAATGCTGTCCAACATTCTGGGGAAGAGCAACCTCCAGTTCGCAGGGATGAGCATCTCCCTGACCATCTCCACCGCCAGCCTGAATCTGCGCACTCCTGACTCCAAACAGGTGTGAGGTTGCCCAGGCCTCCCTGGGCCCGAGGGTGGGCATCCCTGGGGTTACCTCCTCGGAGCTTACCGAGCCCATGCAGAACCTGCTTGGCTGGACCTTGGACTTTGGCCATGTTGACAGTCCAGCCACAGATGGATGAATGGTTCTCTGGAATTCTGCTTTAAATGCCGTCTGTTTTGTTGGTCTGTTTGTAATATAAAGAAATGGTGATGTCTGTGCAAATGTCTTGGTGTCTGCCTTTGTTTTATAGCCATGTTTTGTTGGTTTTGTAGGTCACATTTTAATCTTATCCTGCTTAGAAGGCACAATGTGCTGTGGTTTAATAATAGACAGGAGCTTTCTTCCTTATGGCTTCTTATATTGGAGCCTCTTATAGTCCAGTCTACCTCAGGGCTGATGAGCTGTGTATATCTACAGTGTAGACAATGACGTTGGCGTGACCAAGGCAGCATGGACACATTTAGAAAAGCAGATTCCAGGCAGGATGACCACATTTCTATGTGCTGACTATGTTTTGGTCCAGCCTATCTATCATCTATCATGTCTATCTGTCTGTCTGTCTGTCTGTCCAACTATCATGTCTGTCTATCTGCCTGCCTGCCTGTCTGTCTGTCTGTCTGTCTGTCTATCATCAATCCCTAAGATGTAGAGACAAATTAGATTTAATGTATAAATGAGAAATAAGTCAGGGCTTTGTTGAGACAACTGACTATATCTTATTCTATCCTTTCGTCTTCCAGGGACCGAGACCTCCTTGTCCTTTTCTATTATTTTCTAAGGACTAAGCAGTCCTTCAGACTGTGGACCTAGGATGTCTAATCAGCCTTGCCTTGCTCAGGCTGTCTTAAGCTGAGCCCTAGTTGCTCATAGAGGCTGGCACACTACGCTCTAGACAGCAGTGCACACTGAAATCTGTCCTCTGTGCACATGGACCGTTCATTTCTAGGGGTCCCCAGGTTGTAACTCTCCATCCTCCTCGCTCATTCTCTCCTTTTTTTTAAAACATTTTTACAATTTATTAACAATGGAAGAAAATTTGCATGCCAATGATAGGAAAGTACTTATTTATTTTTACATACAGAGTTAAATCCTTGCTAAGCATTTAGCAATACTGAAGAACACAGAACACTGCCAATGGTTTTCAAAGTTGATAGATACTTTAGTTTTGAAACTGTCAATGCTCAGAGTGCCATTTTGTATAAATATGTAGTATGCTTAAGGTCATCTCAGAAATGGTTGGAAATTCTGTCCTGGTCTTAAGCCAAAATTCATTTAACAATTTTTATTAAAATTAAAAACTCAAGTCAGCTACTCAAACTGCAGTTTTTAAAATCAAACATTTTTATACAATCAAACCTCCAGATACAAGAATTTGATACTCTCTCTCTTTTTTTTTTTTTTTTTTTGGTTTTTTGAGACAGGATTTCTCTGTAGCCTTGGAACATGTCCTGGAGCTAGCTCTTATAGACCAGGCTGGCCCCAAACTCACAGAGATCCGCCTGCCTCTACCTCTGCCTCCCGAGTGCTGGGATTAAAGGATACTAGGGCAACTATTCTTAGTCGCCTGGGACTCAGGCATAGGCTACCCAGCAGTCTCACTGTCTAGTGTTCTCTGAAACCCTCGGGTTTCTCTAGAATGAGGTTTTGCAAATGTCAACAACCAAAGCCAGCATTTTAAAATATTTAAAAATTTATCCTATAAGCCGGGCGGTGGTGGCGCACGCCTTTAATCCCAGCACTCGGGAGGCAGAGGCAGGCGGATCTCTGTGAGTCCGAGGCCAGCCTGGTCTACAAGAGCTAGTTCCAGGACAGGAACCAAAAGCTATGGAGAAACCCTGTCTTGAAAAATCCAAAAAAAAAAATTATCCTATAATGATATTTTATTTCGAGTTTTCAGGAGCATATACTCTATCTGCTGTTCTGTGAACCACTGTCTGCCCTGGACAGGCTGGAGGGCACAGCTCAGTAATGAACCTGGCTGGGTTAGGAGGGAGCTGGGAGCTTTTTTCCACACAGGAACTTTTCTTCAATGTCGTTCCATTGTCTTTAAAAAGATAAAAATAGCAGGGAGGACTTGCGTAGAATTAGGGCAGCTTCTAATTCACTCTGTGTCTACTGAATTCCACGGATGCCACAGCTTATAAACCTGATGGAAAACTTCCATTTTTAAGACAAACCTGGAAGGGCCCCTGGTATTTAAGCTAGGGGATTAAGAGAGGGCTGTCATTCGTGGATGCTGGCCTTCTGATGTGAGTGGGATGAGTGAAACAGGCCACACTCCCCCGTCCTGGCTCTGGTGTTTGTGGAAGCGGAAAATACAAGTTGTAATGTTGTGATACAATGTATTTTTCTCTTGTATGTGTGTGTGTGTGTACATGTGTGTGGTATATGTTTGTGTAGAGGAGATGTACACATGTGCATGGGTGTATATGCACACATGTGTGCAGATGTGTGGAGGTCATAGGTCAACCTTAGCTATCTTTCATCAGGCTGTGTCTGCGGATTGATCCAGGCTCTCTCATTGGTCAGAAACCTGCTTATTCCGCTAGGCTGCTGGTCCACCTAGCCTGGATATACCTGTCTCTTCTCCAGTGCTGGGACTGTAGCCCCCTGCACCCAGTGCTTTATCACATGGGTTTGGGGCATTGAACTCAGGTCTCCCTGCTTGTAATGTAAGCTCTTTGCCAGCTGAGCCATCTCCCCAGGTCCACCTTATCCTTGCTGGTGAAGTCCAGTTGTTGAGACCCTGGCCTCAGGTGGAGCCTTGATTTCACAGATCTGGGCTTACTTCCCTTCTTTCTATAAACAAGCCTTGTGCCCCTCTGGGCTCATGCTCTGTGCCTGTAAAATGGGTTGTCCCCAGTTCCCACTTCTCAGCTGCTGGGAGGCTTAATGGGGCATTCGAGTAGCCAACCAAAGAGACGGCCGCTATCAGGCTGTGCACAGTGAGGGCAGGTGACCTACCGCCTCAGTGTGTGGCAGTTGTCATCTTCCTGGGGGTAGTTTTCAGGACGTCTGGTCGCTCACCTGCTAGCATGCGGGCTTGGCAGGATGTGGCACAATGCTAACGGCTCCTCTGTTTCTTGTCTCCGCTCCGGCAGATCATAGCAAACCATCACATGCAGTCCATCTCCTTCGCCTCGGGGGGAGACCCGGTGAGTGGCCTCGGCTGTTTCTCTCGTTCTTGCTGGAAATTTCTGAGACAAAGCCCTTGCTTTAAAGATGTGCCCCTTGAAGACACGACACAAAAGCGTTTTATGCGGATGTTACTGAAACCCCAATTTACTATTCTGATAGCAGTCCAGCTGTTTTAGGATCAGGACAACTTCAGTCTGGGTAGAATTCTGTTCCATGCAGTGCATGTGCTCAGAAACAACTGTAGGGTGCCCAGAAAAACAAGTTTTATACCCTATGGGGGAAATTCTCTGAAGGAAATAGTGTTTTGTAAGATAAAATAGTCATCGATGAAATTTTGCAAGTAAAGTAGTTACAGCCCCGGAAGCTGTGATCCCAACTGTTTATCCCTCTTGGTTGCAAAAGTCTTCCCTCCCCAAGCCCTCCTTCCCTTCCCTCCCTCTCTTCTTCTCCTCCCCTTTCATTTCCCTGTCTTAGAGAGTGAGCAGGGGGCCAAGGGTCAGCAAGCACTCTTCTGGCAAGGTATTGCTTGCACCACAGCCCTCTCCACTGTCATTCGAGTTGCTATTTGGTGGGGGAAGGGTAACCTATGACCAGGTCCCACCATTCACTTTCAGCCATGAATTATCAGGAGTTCGGGAAGCATGGCCTCCGTCATAGCTCCCATGTCTGATCCATCTTGCCAGGCTTGCTTTCCTCGGTTGTTCCCTGCCACATCTCCAAACCACCTCAAAAACAGGCAGACAACCACGCCAGGGAGCAAGACACTGAGGGAGGAGAGGAAATGGGCCCGGCTCCTTCCAAACGTTATTACGATAATTTTTGTTGTGGTTAAAGGCCAAAAAATTAAAAGTGGGGTAATACGAGGAGGGATATTTTTTTAACCTAAGTTCATTCACATGACAAAAAGCAAATTCTGTAACTTAAGATCTCCATTTATTTATTTATTTATTTATTTATTTATTTATTTATTTATTTTGGTGCCAGTGGTTTGGGCCCTTTTCACACGTAGGATATTGTTTCCAAAGCCTCTCACAATGCTTTTCCTTTTACTCTGTCCTTCCCTGGCTATGCCTTTCTAGTCTTCCTAGTGTTGAGTTTTACACCTCATTGAAACATAAACTCTCTCAGTGAGACGTAGATTTAGAAGGTGAAAATCTTCCTGTGTGTTCACCTATTTCTCAAGATCATATCTATATTTGACAGATTTCTTTTTTTCCTGTCACTGTCAGACATATGTGAGAAAATCAATTTAAACGGAGGTAAGAATCATTTTGGCTTCCAAGTGCCAGCCCGCCACTGTCTGGGTCTGTTGTTTTGTGTGTGAGGTGAGGCAGGGGGCCCTCTCCCAGAGCGGCCATGTGAGCAAGAGCTGTTCTCTTCATGACAGCCAGGGGGCAGAAACAGAATGGGATGGAGGCAAGGCATACCCTTCGAAGGCCTGCCCCCATGACCTGCTCCTCTAACTGTACCTCCTAGTCCCACCACCTTCCAGTGATGCCATCTGTCCTAGGTTCATTTTGGCCGCTAGGATAAAATTTGGAAATTACAAAGGAAAGCTGGAAAGCTGATCACATGCAGGTTTATATTAATGTACCACAAAGACAGTTTGTCAAACTAAAAGCACCTCCCACCCCCTTCCCCCACTCCTGCCTTCCTTGCGTCTTTGAGCTGGCTGCCAGGGTGGCTAGTGTCTTTTGGGGATCGGCTACTACGGTTCCCAGGTGATTCAGTTCTGCTCATTTCTTCTATTCAAGCACAACCTTCAGCACGCATCCTTAGGCACAAAAGTGACAGCAATTTGGATCAACTGGGGCAAAGGCACCATCTGCTCGGCTTCTTGAATACCCTGGTTCCTAGAGTATGGGAAAGCTGTCTGTGAATCTCAGTCTTGACCCTGTAACTGCACCCAGGGCTCCAAAGCTCCAGGGCTCCCGTTTGTTGGCCAAGACACTCCTGACGTTTCTGAAGGACAGTTGCGACTCCCACATCCCATGAGTCTGGGAGGAAAGTGAAGAATTGTAATATTTTTGCCAACAGCTTCAAATCCTCAGAAGATTTGCCTCCGTGGAAGTGAACAGAGGCCATTTTATAGTCTTCCTGTCCTTTCTCTCGCCGGGCTGTGAAATATTAAAGACCAGGAAATGGACTATGCTCAGATGAGCCACAGAGACAAGGGTTCTTTTGTCTCCACCGCTGGAAAAGTCCCCATGCCTCTGTTCTCCGGAAGTCTTGAAGGGCACCATGCCCACTCACTCCTCCCCACGCCCACACCCCTCCCCTCCCCTCTCCCAGCAGTATTTGCTGGATCTCTGTTAAGGACACTTAACAGAGGAGACTTCCTCAGGGACGGAACAGACAAGCCAGCACAGACCACTACCACACAGACAGGAGCAGTGGATGAGCTTGAAGGCCTTTGGATCATAAGCTCAGGAAAATAACTGCAAAGACGGGCTGACCTTTCAAGCTGCCCGCTCTGAGGCGTGGTGCTTGTGGGTTTGTGTTCGTCTTAACTCTCAGCTTGCCACCACCCAGAATCACTTGGGTAGAGAGTCTCTATTGACAGATTAGCCCGTGAGGTAGGAAGAGGCAGACCACTGTGGGTGGCACATTTCTTAGGCAAGCTTCCTGAACAGCGGAAGAGAGAAGTCAAGATGAGCAGAAGGAAACAAGAAAGGAGCCATGCATTTATTCTGTCTCCTCTTGACCATGGATGTAAAGCTTGCCTTGACTCCCTGCAATAAATGTAATCTGGAATTATAAGATGCATAAAACTCCACTGTGTAGCTTACTAGGCTAATTCCAAATCTTGCCTGTTGTGAGTATCCAGTCCTTAAACTCCTACCCTAGTATTTTCCCCAGCAATCAGTTCTCAAAGTATGGTCTTTAACCCCATGGCAGCTGGAATTTGTCAGCAATCCGGCTTGGGGGTCCAGATAGAAAACTGGGGTACAGCTCAACTATTCGTCTTAAGCCTTTTCAGGATTTTCACAGGAATTCAAATTTGAGGACAGTTCACACACACACACATTTACTGACAGTCCTGCTTCTTGACTTTGGCTCACACCAGTGTGTCTACGAGCTCTCAAAAGGTCTTCATGGTCAGGTCTCAAGTCCAAACATGCTAAGTCAGATGAACCAACGGTACACAAGAACCAGCTTTGAAAGCCTCCCAGAAGAACCACCATGGGGTGTTTGTCACCCTGGCTGCTCCGAGTGTGGTCACGGACTTGTAGCATACACGACCAGGGGGACTGGTTAGTGGCAACTGCACCAGTCGCTCGTGATTCCTCAGGTTCTGCTCAGTCTGCACACAGATCTCCAGGGATTTCCAGCCCCGTCCAAGTTTGAGGACACGCCTCAAACCATGCCCATTTTGTACAAAGTATCTGGCCCTTCCTCTCTGCCTTCCTCCCTCCTTCCCTTCTTTTCTTCTTCTCCCAGGACTGAGGAGGCCCAGGGCCTCCCACACTGGGAAAGCGTTGGTTCATGAACTTTCCTTCCAAGCCGATTCTTGGCTGTGTGATGGATGCTCACCACACTGGGCCCTGCATCCCTCTGGTCTTCCCTCTTGCTGGGATGGGTAGTACAAATGTCCCCTTTTCCTTCCACAGGACACAACAGACTATGTTGCCTATGTTGCTAAGGACCCTGTTAATCGCAGAGGTAAGCAATGCTCGACCCATTTAATCACTCACTTGTGTGAAGCCAGGCTTGATGCTGTGAACCAGATGTTCCTCATTATCTCAGCTCCTTTAGCAAACGAGCACATGTCACGTGACGTGATTAAGGATAATTGAGGCCTGCAAGGGTAGCTTGTCACCTGGCTGAGAGAGAACCTACTGGATGCTGAGTGCCAAACTCTCACCTGGGTCAGGATGGCCGCGGTTCGGTATACCACACTCACACCTCACCTGTCTCACCCCGTGCTCTGGTAACAGCCTCAGCTATGCCTGGGAAACGCTATACCTGCTCATCCTCCTGACCAGCATCACCCTGTGTGTGCACACTGTCCTGTCTCCTGCTCTGGGCCCAGCACCTAAGCTCGGGGTGTGCTGTTTTCTCGTGTCCCTTTGGAGCGTCTGAGAACACAGAGGCTGAGGAGGGGGTGTCATGTACAAAACCAGAGTGGATAATAATACACTCAGGAAGGTGGGCTCAGAGTGACTACCCTTGGACACTAGGCAGCTCTCGATGACCCCTGCCACAGTTACTGAAAAGTCACTGGCAAAACACCAGTGGAATTTGTCACCATGCAGAGTGGCACTATCCTCCGCTGCAGACTGGTTCCATTCTTCCTCCTGGCCTTTGTGCTATGTGCCAGCAGCTGGTTTTAAACTTTGCTTGCATACTCAGACATAATTTTTTTCTCTTGCAAAAAGCAAACAAACAAGAGCAACAACCCAAACCTCTCAATGCACATGATACCCAACACTCAATTTTGCCAGCCTCTTCCCAAACCTGTACTTTGGACATACATTCAGGACAACCAACAAGGGCAGATTAATTGAGACTGGGGTGCTCTGCCTTAGCTGCAGGGGCTTCTGCAGACCCTTCCTTATTGCTGTCTTTCTTGAGTGGATACCATATGTGATGTTAAATACTAATTGTCAGCTTGACAACACCTAGAACCACCTAGCAGATAAACTCTGTACGAGCTGTAAGGGAGTTCCTGGGTTGGATTAATTGAAGTGGGAAGGCCCACCCTAACTGAGGGTAGCACCCTCCATGGGCTGGAATTCTGAAATAAAGGAAAAGAGAAAGTGAGCTGAGTACCAGCCTTCATCTCTCCGCACATCCATTATCGCTCGCCTGTCTTCTCGGGAAACTGTATAAAGCCTGGGTTGGCCCCAGGTGAACAGGGTTTTATCAGGACTGCCGCCCAGAGATGTGAGCAAAAGCTCTTGGTGCAGGCTTAGAGACTCAGCTTAGTGTCTAAGGCAACGAACACAGATCAAGTTTTTTAAAACAAGAAGGACATGTTGCCTCACGATTTTGGAGGCTGGATGCCCAGTTCATGCTGTCAGCAGGGCCAGACGGGCTCCCTCTGGGTCCTGGAGGAGAAATTCTGCCTCCTCCTGGCTTCTCTCTGATAATCTCCAATGTCCCTTGACTTGCAGGTGTGTTACTGGAACCCATCCTAATGAGGTGTACTCCCCGTGTCTGTGCTCATGGATGCTTTTAGAGATGACAGTCCATGGTGGCTCAGGGCCCCTCCTATCCTGCCGTGACCTCATTTTAACCAGTTACATCTGAAATTGCCATTTTCCAAATAAGGACACCTTCTGAGGTCCTGGATTTTTGGCATAACTTAAAAAGGGGGGGCATAATTGAACCCAGAGCACAAACCAGCCCCTTTAAGTATCCTAGCTGCCCCTGAAATCAGGGAGGATTATAGGGGAGGGGAGGCATAGGCTATCCCTCTGCAGGCACTGCCCCCCCCCCCAGCTCTATCTGGGTTAGAAGCAGGAGCAGCTGGGGTTCATGTCTCCATTTCGGTTTGTTTCAAATTAATGGCAAGTGATTTAGGCAATCTTGTTTTTCAGACTTCTTTAGTAGGTCCAGGTCAATGGTCCTCAAAATGAGCTACACTTGAGAGTTACTTAGGAGCCTTATGAAAACATCTTAACACTCAGCTCTGAGAGAATGGGATCCAGGCAACAATGTGGTTAAATAGCTCTTTGGAGCCTGGGGAAACAGTTTAGTTGGCAGAGTGCTTGCTGTGCAGGCTTAAGAGGCTGAGATCATTTCCCAGAGTCCTCCTGAAAAGCCAGGTGCGGTGGCAACACCTGTAACCCTAGCATTGAATGGTGGAGGCAGGAGGATCCTGGGGTTTGCTGGCTGACAGCCTAGCCTGGTTGGTAACTTTCAGGTCAATGAGAAACCCTCTCTCATAACACAAAGTGAGTGTCCACGGAGGAATGGCACCTGAGGTTGTCCTTTGGCCTCCACATACACATACAGACATGCGACATGCACCCGCATGCAACATGCACACATATGTAGTTTGTATGACTTTATCGTCTGATCTCCATCTTATTTTTGAGACAGGGTCCCCCTCCCCCGAACCACGAGCTCATTTATTTGAGCTAGCCACCAAGCACCGGGCCCATCCCTGTCTCTCCTCCCCAGCACTGGATTTACAGATATGCATCCCTGCACACAGGGTCCTGGGGATCTGAACTCAGGTCCTCATGCTCTCAGGGCAAGCACTTAGCCAGCCGAGTGGTCTTCCTAGTCTTTGTTTAATCAACACATAACTACACTTATTTATGAGGTGTAGTATGAGGTACACACTACGTGCAATAACCAAGTCGGAGTATCTCGCTTCAGACCACACTTCAAGCTCCTGCCACTTGATCCCCCACTGTGGTGGACTGCACCCTGGAACTGTGAGCCAAAGACCTGTCTCCTTTAAGTTGCTTTCGTTAGGGTGTTTTATCACAGCAATGGGAAGGCAAAAGGCATTCTCTCCACTGGATTTTAAAACAGCCTCTCTCACTGTAACATGAACCTTGCTGAGGAGACTGTATAGCTGGCCAACAAACGCCAGGGATCCTCCTGATTCTGTCTCCTGAGTACTGGATTCTAGGCCTATGCTACCATGCCTGGCTTTTTATGTGGATTAGAGGGACTGAACTCAGGTCCTCAGGTTTGCGTGACAAATGCATTATCGACTGAGCCACCTCCTTATTCCCTATACTGTGCTACTTAGTGTTTCCAGCTAGATTTGGTTATCAACGCTTCACTCTTACTAAGTCAAGAACAACTTTCCCTTAAGTTCATTGAAAAGATCAACATCCGTGGAGTTCCAGTTTCTATCTACTGCTAAGGTTTATCTGTCTAGGGAGCACCAGTTTGCATCTACTGCTAAGGTTTATCCATCTAGGGAGCACCAGTTTGCATCTACTGCTAAGGTTTATCCATCTAGGGAGCACCAGTTTGCATCTACTGCTAAGGTTTATCCATCTAGGGAGCACTAGTTTGCATCTACTGCTAATGTTTATCCGTCTAGGGAGCACCAGTTTGCATCTACTGCTAAGGTTTATCCATCCAGGGAGCACCATTTTACATCTATTGTTAAGGTTCCCGAGGCCTTAAGGAAAGGCTGTGAAAGATCCAGTTTGAGCTGAGTTTTCTTTCTAAACACTGCTTCCCTATGGAGGTCAGAACCATTGGTCTATAGATTGTGAGAGAAGCAGAACCACCAATGGGCTGGAGAGGTGACTCAGAGGTTAAGAGTACTTGCTGCTCTTGTAGAGGACCCAGGTTGGGTTTTCAGCACCCACAGGGTATCTTACAACCACTTGTAACTCCAGATCAGGGGAATCTTCTACCCTCTTCAGGTACTGCATGTGTGAGATGTATGGACACACATGAAGGCAACATACACACACACACACACACATAAAATGAAAGATGTGTTTTGAGTATTAGAAATAAGACCTTCACTTTTGCAGACAAGCCCTCTAAGAACTTCACATGTCCATAACCACTGTAGGATGCCCACAGAGATGAAACTGTGGGTTGGTAGAGCATGCCAGGAGGGAGGTGTGTGACATTTTCCCTCTGCACCCCAGATGGGGCTCTTTGTCAAGGGGTCCAGAGAGCTCTGGTATGGTCTCTAATGAGGGTGTGTCCCCTTCTCTCCAAGCTTGCCACATTCTGGAATGCTGTGATGGGCTAGCCCAAGATGTCATTGGCTCCATCGGACAAGCCTTTGAGCTCCGGTTCAAACAGTATTTGCAGTGTCCTTCCAAGATTCCTGCTCTGCAGGACCGGTGAGTAGCTGCGCCTGCTTTTCTCAGTTATTTAAGCAGGGTCTGTAAACTTTCCTTTAAAACCAGCCGCCAGCACTGCACTCCAGGCAGACCCAAATCATCGTGGGGGGTTTCCCGGAACTCACAGACACCTGGCTGGTGCTCTGCAGAGGTGCAGAAAGCCAGCAGATGGGAGCTCACATAAGGCTCTGAATGGGCAGGGAACATTTTCTGGAAGTTACAGTGACAGTAGACAAGGTTACCAAAAGCAGCTTCATTGTAATCTTTTTAGGTCACATTGTGTCTTCTTCAGCCTTTAATTCTTCCATAGGTCCCCTCCCTGGGTCTGTGTCCACACAGGTCTGTTCCTCATCTTTCTGTTGTCACAGTTAGCCAAAGCCACCTGCTGCCAGCATAATTTTTGTTTAACAGCCTCCATGGCCTAATAACTTAGGGGCTTGTTCATCTGCCATTTGGCTCTGAGCAAGATCCTTAAACTGTCCGAGTCACCGTGGCTTTTTCTGGAAAATAGGGATAAGAATCACTGGAGAGTTTCGTTACTATTAAATGAAGAAGGATTGTTAACACCAAATGTGGGCTACTTAGGTGATAATTTAAAAAAAAAAAACAAAAAACAAAAAACAAAAACCAGAGAGTCTGCTATTGAGTTTCCTTAGGATGCAAGAATATTCCGTGACGTAGGAAGCAGAAAAGTGCTATGGTCACATGAGGCATTCAGTGGTCTTCTGTCCTTGAACTTGAGTATATTCTGTCCTTGACAAACTCGCATAATAAAAAGCTGTTATAGGCTGGAAGGTGGCTCGGCCAGTAATGTACTTGCCTTGTGGGCATAGAACCTGAGTTTTACCTTCAGAGCCTATGTTTAAAAACAAAACCAGCCAGGTACAGAGGTTGGGGAGGTGGAAACATGAGGATCTCTGGGGTTCACTGGCCAGTCAGCCTGTCTTCTTGGTGAGTTCCATGCTAGTAAGAGACCCTTTCTTTTTCTTTTTTTTGTATATATATATTTATTTATTATGTATACAATGTTCTGTTTGTGTGTCTGCCTGCAGGCCAGAAGAGGGCACCAGATCTCATTTCAGATGGCTGTGAGCCACCATGTGGTTGCTGGGAATTGAACTCAGGACCTTTGGAAGAGCAGGCAATGCCCTTAACCGCTGAGCCATCTCTCCAGCCCCAAGAGACCCTTTCTTAAAAGCAATGTAAATAGCCTGGAGGTTGACCTCTGGCCTCCACATAAACAAATGTATGACACCTATGTACGTGTGCCCACACATACATGTGTACACAGGAAAATCTTTCTAATGGTGTGCTCACTGCAAACAAGCATTGTTCCCTTAGGTTTACTTCTTACTCACTTCAAACCCACAAAGCCACCTTCTGTGGCATTGTGGAGCTGGCATCTGCTCTGCTCTGTTCCCTCGTCATCCCTTGGCAAATTCCCTTTAAGGCATCCATTGTTCCCGTAAGGACCCACTTTGTCCAGGCTGATGAATTCGGCAGGATGTGGCTGGAGGAGGTGTGAAGGAAGTGGCCACAGCCCTGGCACCTCTGACCTGAGAATGAGTCAGCATAGTTCTTCATTTTTAATGTGCCCGGAGATGTTGGTTTCCAGAAGCCACACAGGGTGCAGGCATCGGAGGTCACAGTCTCAGAACTTATAATGGTGTGGGAAGACTGAGTCACAAAAGGGTATGGATCGTTTGTGTTTTGAAAACACACTGCCCTGGTTAGCTTTAATTGCCAACTGTCATAGCCTAGAGTCACCTGGGAAAAGGAAATCTCAACTGAGGGAATCCCTAGATCAGGTTGGCTGTGGATCTGCCTGCAGGGGGTTTTCAGTTGATACAGTGGGGCCCAGTCCACTCTGGACAGCACCATTCCCTGGGCAGGTTGTTCTGGGCTCTATAAGCAATCTAGCTAAGCATGGCCCATGAATGAGCCAGTAAGCAGCGTTCCACCTACGCTTCTGCTTAAGTTCCCTCTTTTGCTTCCCTCAATGATGGACAGTGAACTTGTTCACTGAAATAAACCCTTCATGAGCATTTGAATTGTCTCCTTCCTTTCACTCTTCTGAGCAAAACTACTATGAAGCTGTAGTCAAACTTTGACGACATGTTTCTTGTGATAATGCCTTAGAGTAGAATTATTGAGTTAATGGTCCTACGGTTTGTTAACCATTTAGGAAACTGTCTTAGCTGCCTTTTAGTTTTTTTTTCCCTGTGATAAGATAAGGTATTAGTCAAGGTTCTCTATAGGAACAGAACACACACACAATAGATATGGGGTCTATGAGCATGGCTTACCAGCTGTGGTTCTGCTAGTCCAATAATGACTTTCTACCAACAGAAGGTCCAAGAATCCAATAGCTATTCAGTCTACAAGGCTGGATGTCCCAGATAGTCTTCAGTATATGCCAGAAACCCAACGAAGTAGGCTCTAATGCCAGTGAAGAAGTGTGTTTGCTAGTGAGAGAGAGCTCAAGCCGGCAGAGAGAGCAAGCTTCCTTCTTCCATCAGAAGGTGTGGCCAAATTAAAGGTGGATCTTCCCACCTCAGAAATATGGATTAGAAGTATATCATCTTCACATTTATTTCATTATTTCATTGAGGAAATAATCCCTCACATATGTGCCCAGGATTTTAGTTAATTCCAGATGTAGTCGAGCTAACAACCAAAAATAGCCAGCACAGATACTCTGAAAGAATCAACGTGTGGTAAGAGGGGTCTATTTTGGCTCACAGTTTGGAAATACAGTCCCTCATGGCAAGAAAGCCAAGGCTGCAGGAATGTGAGGTAGGTAGTCACATTGCATCCACAGCTGGGAAGTAGAGACCATGGGATGCTGGTGCTCATTTAGATTCTTCCTCTGTTGTGCAGTCCAGAGACCCAAGCCCAGGGAATGGTGCCACACGTTATTAGGATGGGTTTTCTATCTCAGTTAACCAAATCAAGATAATCCCTCACAGGCGTGGCCAGAGGGTAGCCTAATCATCTACATCATCCCCCATAGTTGTGTGCCAGAGTCTTGTTTCCTTGGTGATTCTAATCCTATCAAGTTGATAATCAATATCAGCATATTTGTTGCTGTGCATATCGTTGGTTATGGCTGCCCTAGTGGGCCAAAAATTCTTTGATGATGGCTTTGACTTGCACTTTTTTTTCCTGATTTTGCTATCAGACATCTTTCATGTGCTGCTGACTATTTCTCTGTCTTCTTGGGGGAAACGTCTGCTCAGTTTTTTATTTTTTAAATATTGGGTTGCTTTTCTTTTAAATTGTTGAGTTTTAGGGATTGTAGATACACGCTACCTTAAAGAAATACATTAGCAAATATTTTCCTATTTTGTGGATTGTGTTTTTCATTGTGTTTTATAATTTTCAGTGTATGTCTAACCCTGATTACATAGTTTTTCCCCTTAAAATTTTCCCCTTTTGATGCTCCAATGATCTATTATTTTATTTTTGTTTTTAATCATCATCAATGTATAAAATACAACAGATTTTGTATATTTTTTATATGCAGGAATCCATTCTTAGACATACTTTAAATTCCTAATTTCCCTTGGAATCTTGTAGGAGTCTACTTTGATTTCTACAATGATTCCATTATTATCAAAAAATACTTTTTATATTTTAATTCTTTAAAAATTTTTAAGTTTATTATTAAATAAGCTTGACATATGCTTTCTGCTGGGGGATGTTCCCTCTGCGTGGGAGAAGAAGTTTTATTTTGTTGTTTTTGGGTAGAATGTGCTATTGATGTCTCTTAGGTCTGGTTAGTTTTTGTGTGCAAACTTCTATTTCCTAATCTTCTGCTTAGTCATCCTATATAATAATAAAGTGGCAATTAGTGTTTCTCCATATTATTCTTGAACTTTCTGCTTTTCCATTTATTTTTTCTAAAACGTGTTGCTGATAGAAAACTTACTATTGGATCATTTTCTAATTTGTCTGTCAACCCCTGTCTTTTAAGAATAACATTTAATACATTTATATTTAATGCAATTGCTGATGTTAGGATTTACTCCCGCTATTGAGCTAATTTTTCTTTATGCCATTTTATCCTCTTACATGACAGTTGCTGTCTCCTTTGTGTAAGGCAAATAAACATTTTTCAAGTGTGCAATTTAACTTCTTTCTCTTCCACTACTTTTAAAGTAGTGACCAGAGGATTATAGTTAATACATTAATTTATAACTATATATTCAGATTAAAGAACTTAATAATATATCAAAGATTGGCTTCTGTATAGATCTATTCTTCCACACTCCATTATACTACTCTTTAAAAAAAATATTTGTTTTGAATTATGTGTGTTTGTATTTGTGTATGTGTGTGTATGAGCAAACGTGTGAATGTGTCCCCTCGAGTGGACAAATGAGTGCAGTATGGAAGCCAGAAGAGGGATTCGGATCCTCTGAAGCTGGAATTAGAGGCGGTTGTGAGCCACTCTGTGTGGGCTGGGAGCAGAATTTGGGTTCTCTGCAAGAGCCTGGTGTGGTCTTAACCACTGTGACATCTCTCCAGTTCTTCCATCCTGCTGTTATTGCTGTGCAAGCTACACCTTTATTCATTGTGTGTTCATCAGTACAGTCACATTGCTTCATGTATTTTTAAATGAGAAGGGAAGAATAAGGAAATTTTAGGCAACACTGAATTTATAGTTTTGTGTAGTCTTGCCATTATTTTTTTTGCTGTTTCCTCTGATTGTAAATTTCTACTGATTATCTACTTAATTTCAGCTTAATATACTTGCCATAGTATTTCCTAAGGAGAAGGTTTTCTAGTGGATTTCTCCTGCCTTTATTTCCCTTGGAATACGCTTTCTGCTTCATTTGGGCAGCTTTGCTTATTGGATGTGGACGTCATGACGGGAAACCTTCCTTTTCCCTGCCTCTGGCCCTCCTTTGTGTCTGGGAAGAAATCAGCTATTAATACCATGAGGATCCCTTGTTTTCTTGAGCAGCTCCCTTGGATGCCCTCAGATGCCTCCTTTGACTTTAAACAGTTAGATTAGGGTGCCTAAGACTCTCTGAGTTTATCTAAGCTGAGCTTCCTAGCTAGCCTCTTGGTTGTATAGAACATTTTCTTTTAGCTAATTTGGGAAGATTTGTACCGTAACGAGGCCAGTATTTTCCCTGCCCTCCTCAGTCTGCTCTCCTTTAGGGACTCTACTACATACATGTTGGCATTTTTGGTATTCTACAGGTCTCTCGGGCTCTGTGTCAGGGACTACTACACACATGTTGGCATTTTTGGTATTCTACAAGTCTCTCGGGCTCTGTGTCAGGGACTCTACTGCACACATGTTGGCATTTTTGGTATTCTACAGGTCTCTCGGGCTCTGTGTCAGGGACTCTACTGCACAGATGTTGGCATTTTTGGTATTCTACAGGTCTCTCGGGCTCTGTGCTCTTTTAGTAGGTTTCTTCTCTGTTCCTCAGACTGGCTCATCTCAGCTGAGTTGTTTTAAAATGTTGCCTTTCTTCTTCCACCTCCCAAAACTGTTATTTGCTTAAGTGAATTGTTTGAAGTAATGGTAGAATTTCCAATCCTAGAATTTATTGTTATTTTTATTTCTTTATGAATGCTGGTAAGTTCCACTTTGTGAGACACAATTTCCATATTTAGTGTTTTAGAGTCATTTCTCTTAGCTGATTGAATATATTTGTTTTTATTTATCCTTAAGTCTGAGATCTCTTTGTGATAGTTTCTACTGACTTCTTTTTCCTGGATATGAGCTATCCTTTCTTATTTTTATAGCTTATAATTTTTTTGCTGACACTAAAGATGTAAGTAATAGAAAGCTGCAAGACTGAAACTCACATACTTTCTCTTTCCAGAATGTATATTATTAATGTTTGTGGTGGTTTTAGTGACTTTACTTAATTAATTCTATAAATTCTATAATCTACATTTGTCATTTATGTCCACTGATGTCTCTGTTTGGTTAACTACATTTCTTCACTAACAATTGCAGAGTTTTCCTTGAATGTTGAACAATTTAGCCTCTCAGTCTTTAATGATGGGCTACATGTGTGTGCATGTATATATGTATATGTGCATATGAATCATGTATATTTATACACATGTATATATGTATACATGTGTATATGTATGTGTGTGTGTCCTATCTGTATCTGTATGCATCTACCTTCTATGTATGTGTGTATATGTATATCTGTTTGTATGTGTGTTTTGGTACACTCCTTCAACATATGGTGAATCAGTTGATTGTTTTTCAGTTTTCACCTTCTACTTGTGAGGTGTTTAGGTCAGAAGTGAGAATTTAGAGCCATGTTACACCCTGTGGCATGAGCACAAGCTGAATCCTGCAAATGTGTGTAGCCTTCCAGATAAATGTGTGGGAGTTGATTAACATCCCGGCTTCTCATTTTGGGCTTGTGATTGCCATTGGTTGTGACTATTTGCTTTGTTGGCTTTTCCCCCTCTAACTCCATAAACTCTATATTCCTTTTCACTCACTTCCACTAATAAAAATTCTTTGACCCAAATGTTATTCCCAGCTTCATGTGGGCCACATGATAAACATTTGCCTCTGAATATTTTTGACAGATGCCCCAGGCAAGCTCTGCATCAGGTTAAATAAAGACTGCTTTGGCAAACACAAACAGATGATAAGTGCTTAAGGAGATGGGAATGCTAATTACTCTAATTTGGTCACTGTGTGTTGTATAAATGTATCAAGTTAGCACACAGCACCCCATAATAAATGTGCAAAATTACTATGTGATAATTAAAAGTAAATTTTTTAAAAGACAGCTTGGGGAACTGGGTGCTCAAAGGAACACTCAGACAGTGTCTTGGGTTTTTTATTGCTGTGAAGAGGCACCATGACCACAGTAACTCTTACAAATTAAAACATTTAATTGGGGTGGCTCACCCACAATTTTAGAGGTTCAGTCCATTATCATCATGGTGGGGAGCATGGTTGCATGCAGGCAGATGTCCAGCTGGTAGCTGAGAGTCCTACATCTTTCAGGCAACAGGAAGTCAACTGATAGTCACACTGAGGGAAGCTTGAGCAAAAGAGACCTCAAAGCCCACCCCAAAAGTGACATGCTTCCTCCAACAAGGTCATATCTCCTAATAGTGCCACTCCTTTGGGAACCATTTTCTTTCATACCACCACAGATAAGGAAAATAATGATAATTTTTTTTTTGGAACCAGCTTTTGAAGGAGGCTCAGAACTGTCCTGTCCCATCTGTGACTACTTGGGTGATGGTTATCATTGTTTGATAGCTGTTAGCTTATAAGGCTACCACAGGGATACAAACAGGACTATTTAAGATACCGCAACAGTACTGATCTTACAGTTTATTTCATTGTTGGAAAATGTTTATTTTTTAGTTGTGTGTGCTATCTGTGTATGATAAGTGTAGGTGTTTTTCTTGGTTTCTCTTCTGTTGCTGTCATGAAATGCTCTAAGAAAAGCAACTTAAGGAAGAAAGGTTTATTCCGGTTCTCAACTCAAGGTGCAGTTCACCATGGCAGGGAAGTTGATGCAGCTTGTCACATACGATAATAAGAGAACAATTCACAGATGTCAGTGCTCAGGTTGCTTTTTTCATCTTACGCAGTCCAATGTCCTTCTGCCAAGGGAATGGCACTACCCACAAGTGGGCAGGTCATCTCGCCTTAATCAAACCACAATCAAAATGATGCCCCATGCAAATTTCCAAGGGACCATCTCTCAGATGATCATAGGTTCTGTTAACTCGACAGTTAACATTAATTTCATTGTGTGTGTGTGTACATGTGTACTCATAAGTATGCATGCAATAGCCTTGAGGAAGACTTCATAGGTTATCTTCTATCATTCTCTACTTTATTCCCTTGAAGCAGGGTCTCTCACTGAATCTGGAGATCACTATTTTTCAGCTAGACTGGTATCTGGAAGGCTCCAGCAATGCGCCTATCTCTCACCCCTCAGGTGTGGGAGTCTCAGGAACATGCAGTAACACTTAGTTTTTTAGATGGGTACTCAGTGTTTGGTTTCTATAGGTGGTCCTGATGTCAGAGTTATTAGGTCTGCCTGTATGCTCAACTCTGGGTGAGGTCACTGACAATCTTTTAACAGGATGCAGAGCCTAGATGAGCCATGGACTGAAGAGGAGGGAGATGGTCCTGATCACCCATACTACAACAGTGTTCCCAGCAAGATGCCTCCTCCAGGGGGATTTCTTGATGCTCGATTGAAAGCCAGACCCCACGCTCCTGACACAGCCCAGGTAAGTTTGGGGTTCTCTTCTTGGGTTAAAGATGACCCCATTTGCATTTATCCTGCTCAGTGTTATTTTTGGCTGATAGTCCACTTAGCTTTGGACACGCTCCCTCGCAGGCTTTCTTCCACCGGTATCACAACGAACATGGAAGGGAGGGGTTTGGTTTGACATCACAGGGAACTGACCTCAGAACCCCAGTGCCATGTCTGAGACATGAATGAAAGTGACCTGAGTCTGAGCCCCAGTTCCACCATGCTGTGGTCTTAACGAGGGGATGGCAGGATTCCAGGTTTTTTTTTTTTTTTTTTAAAGGCCCGTGATACTGTGGGCTCCCTGAAGAGAGTGGACCCGTCCCCTTAAGGTCTGAATTTTAGGCATTTTTTTTCTATTTTGTTTATCCACCACTCTGGTCCAGTTTCATTTCTGTTGCTCTGGTAAAATACCCTAACTCTAACCAGCTGAGGGGACAAAGGGCTATGCTCGCTTATGGCACCAGGTTACAGTCTATCACTGTGGGGGAGTAGGAGCAGGAGCCTGAAGCAGCGAGTCACATTCTAACCACAGCCAAGAGCAAAGAGGTGTGCGTGAGTTAACCACAGCTGAGAGCAAAGAGGTGTGCGTGAGTTAACCACAGCCGAGAGCAAAGAGGTGTGCGTGAGTTAACCACAGCCATGAGCAAAGAGGTGTGCGTGAGTTAACCACAGCCAAGAGCAAAGAGGTGTGCGTGAGTTAACCACAGCCAAGAGCAGAGGTGTGCGTGAGTTAACCACAGCCAAGAGCAGAGGTGTGCATGAATTAACCACAGCCGAGAGCAAAGAAGTGTGCGTGAATGCTGCCATGCTCGCTTGTGCTCAGCTCACTTCCTCCACTCCAATTCAGCTCAGGTCTCCCTGCCTAGGCAGTGGTGCAGTGCACAGTGGTCTCGGTTTTTCCAACTTACTTCAAAGGCCAAATCCTCCCCCCCCGCCCCCCGTTAACATTCCCACAGATCAACCAAATGTAGGCAGTCCCTCATTGAGACCCTCTTTCCAGATCTGTCTCTTCTAGGTTGCATTAAGTTGTCACTTAGAGTGAACAATCACACCCTCCAGCTCAAACAACCTTCACCGCAACCCTGCTTTCTAAAACTATTGCATTTCGTCTTTTATGGAAGCTTAAGAGATTTTTCCCCCCTCTTTTTTGTGGTGCTTAGGGATGAAATCCGGGGTCATATGCTTGGTGAGCTGAGCTATGTTTCCAACTCTGGAGATAATAAGATTATTGGTACCCATAAAAATGCAAGGACAGCACCGACAGGGAGACTGTGGCTCTGCAGCTTCCTGCTTCTCAGGAGTGTGCTCCTCGGAGAGTGAACAGCTGCTGGCCCAAGATCTCTCTGCGGCCGCCCTTGGGAGGGATTATTGGGTTCACGAAAACAAGGAGAAAGTGTTGTAGCATTAATGAGATTGTGGATTTTTTTTTAAAAACCATGCAAGTTTATCTGCTGAATACAAGGCCACTGTGAGGCAGACATGGAAAGGTGGTGTCAGAGAGGGTGAATCAACCCCCCAAAGCCCCTCTTACCACATTGTGGCCCACAAAGATGAGGAATGAGAAGACACTTCCCTCTTTCTGAGTATCTGCATCTGTCTCCAGTTTGCAGGGAAAGAGCAAACTTACTACCAGGGAAGACACTTAGGAGAAGCCTTTGGTGAAGACTGGCAGCGAGCACCCACCAGGCAGGGTAAGTGACAGAGGCCTGCTCTACACAGCTGATGCACTGACTGTGGGTTTCTCTGGTCCCTGTGAGTAGGAGCGGGAGTCCCTGGAGACATCAGGAGCATGAAAATTAGGCAGGTACCCAAGACTCCACAGCTCAGTATGTCTTAAGCTCTTATGTGATTTTTCTTGTAGTTTTTAAGTTTGTTTTAGTGTTTGGCGATGCAAAGTTATAGCTCAAACTGGCCTTGAACTTGCTGTGATCCTCTCGCTGTAGCCTTCTGAGAGCTGGGATGACAGGCATGAGTCAAGTCACCCAGCTTCAAGATCTTATTTGAAACTGGTCGATATGTTTTCCCCAAAACAAATAAGAATTTATTCATCTATTAGCCAGTAACCATCCTTCCTAGAGGAATATTAACAAGGCTTCTGTTATACAAGTGAGCAGAGATGGTCACACACAGGAAGAGAGACCCAAGCAGGTGCTCTTGAGCAACACTTTCCATATTACTTCTGACCAAACAGCGGAGACCCCCAAGACTAGCCTCAGTACCCCTTTGGCTCACTGGGAGGTCACGTTGTTACTCAATGCTCAGCTCCTAGGGTTCTGGAGCACCAACAACCTGGTCAGCCATATTGAGCAAGGCATTTAACCACCAGTATTCACCCTGACTGGCAGATTTTTCTTTTGACATGAAGAACTGGGAAGTGTCTTAAGTGGGACTGGGTTTTGACAGGCTTAGAAGAGAGTTAACCAGAAATAAATGTTCTCACCAGCAGGCTTGAGGAACCGCTCTAGGAAATTCCAGGTATTCCAGACACAGAGGCTGGAAGAGTGTTGCCATCGTAAGAGGTAACAGGGCTCACTTTTTTGGTGCAGGTTCCTTGGACATCTACAGCACACCAGAAGGGAAAGGGCACATGGCTCTGGTAGGAGAGACACCAACCTATGTCAACACCCAGCCAGTCCCTCCACAGGTTTGGCCAGCAGCAAGCAGCAGCACCGAGAGCAGCCCACGGAAGGACCTCTTTGATATGAGTAGGTGCCTGTTGCTCTTTCTATGCTGCCTTTGACATGAGTAGGTGCCCATTGCCCTCCCTATGACGTCTTTGACATGAATAAGTGCCCAGTGCTCTCTCTTTTATCTGATATCCATATTACTACTGGATTTTCTGCTGGACTTTGGTGTTGGGGTTACATGACTTTCTTTTGGGGAAACTAGTTTTCCTCTTGAAGACCAACAATGTAAAAAAATATGTGTGTTCATTTGAATATTAATTGGCCATGCTGTACTAGCTGCTGTATGATTTCAGAGGGTACAGAGATGGTTTGGCCATAGTCAACAATCTCAGCCTATCAACAAGAATATTGGGATGAGAAATGACTATGTACCTTGTTTACAGTGTCTTCCCTCTGCCACCCCTCCCTCCCTCCCTCCCTCCCTCCCTCCCTCCCTCCCTCTCTCCCTCCCTCCCTCCCTCCCACCAGTTTTCCTCTCCTCTCCCCTCTCCCTCTCTGTTTGCCCTTCCCTCCCTGCCCCATCCATTTGCTCTCATTTCCCCTCTCGCTCTTCCTCTCCACTTCTGCCAAAATTGTATCCAGTGCTGACCATGTGTCCAATACTTTTCTAATTACTGAAATGACACAGGGGCATGGAAACAGATGGCCTTCCTCCGGTGGGGTTTAAACAGCCAAACACAGGGGGTAGGGCACACTCAGCAATGAGCTGTAGAGAAGGGTGAAGGGAAAGGTGGGACCCCACTGGGCAGTATCAACTGATACTGTCTCGGGGACTTCCTCTTGATAGAGAAAATACATGAACTGAAATGCGATGAGTAGAAACTATTCAGGAACTTGGAAAGGGTTTTGAAATCTCATGAGGATAAACCTACATACATACATACATACATACATACATACATACATATGTGGAGAGAGGGGGAGGGAGAGGAGATGGGGGGAGAGAGGAGTTTATGTATATGGGTGGGTGTGCCTGTGTGAGTGGGTCTCTCTCCCTCCCTCTCTCCCTCCCTCCCTCCCTCCCTCCCTCCCTCCCTCCCTCTCCCTCCCTCTCTCCCTCTCCCCCTCCCTCTCTCCCTCTCTCCCTCTCCCTCCCTCCCTCCCCTCTCCCTCTCCCTCCCTCCCTCCCTTTCCCTCCCTCTCTCCCTCCCTCCCTCTCCCTCTCCCTTTCCCTCCCTCTCTCCCTCCCTCCCTCTCTCCCTCTCTCCCTCCCTCCCTCTCTCCCTCTCTCCCTCCCTCCCTTTCCCTCTCCCTCTCTCCCTCCCTCCTTCCCTCCCTCTCCCTCTTCCTTTCCCTCCCTCTCTCCCTCCCCCTCCCTCTCCCTCTCCCTCCCTCCCTCCCTCTCTCCCTCCCCCTCCCTCTCCCTCTCCCTCCCTCCCTCTCTCCCTCCCTCCCTCCCTCTCCCTCTCCCTCCCTCTCCCTCTCCCCCTCCCTCCCTCCCTCCCTCCCTCCCTCCCTCCCTCTCCATCTCCCTCCCTCCCTCCCTCTCCATCTCCCTCTCCTTCCCTCTTCCCCTCCCTCCCTCCCTCCCTCCCTCCCTCTCCCTCTCCCTCTTCCTCTTCCTCTCCCTCTCTCTGTTTCTCTCTGTGTGTAGGCCATAGGATTAACTTGGGTGTCATTCTCAGGAGTCACTTGTTTTTGAGACAAGGTCTCTTACTCGGCCTGGAACCTGCTAACTAGATTAGCCTTACTGGCCAGTGAGCCCCAGGGATCTGCCTGTCTACACCTCCTCAGGACTAGGATTACAAGCACATACCTGCATGCCTCTTCTGTTTTTGTTTTGTTTTTTTTAAAAAAATTATCTTTATTTTTTATTTTTATATGTCTTGAGCGGGTTTTGCCTGCACGAATATATGTGTACCATTCCTGGTGGCTGTGGAGAGCAGAAGAGGGTGTCAAATCCCATGGGAATGAAGTTGAAAGAGGTTGTGAGCCATCATGTGTGTGTTGATAACTGAATCCGGGTCCTCTACAATAGCAGCAATTACTGAGTCATCTCTCCAGCCCCATGTGCTGACTAAGACATAGGCTCTGGGGATCAGACTCAGGCCCTCATGCTTAGAAGGCAAATACTTTACCAACTGAACCAATCTCCCCAGCCCTATATCTTAAACGCTTCTGCTTTAATTCTTTGAGAAGCTGATGGACTGAAGAGGGGGAGGAACACAGCCCTGACTATCACGTGCTGAGCACTTCCTACCTGATTTAATGGTCTTAATCTGTGTACAGGGAGCTTCGGTTATTATTACCACCCCTACTCTGTAAAGAAGGAAAAGGAGAGTCGTAGTGGCTAAGTAACTCTGATCTGTGTCAAAGGTAGCCCTGCCAGTCCCACACTTCTGTCTACAGTGTCTCGTGAGGGTGAGGAGAGACTCCAGGGCTTTTCTGATGAGGCAACATTGCAGCTTCTGCAATTGGCTTCTCCTGGGCCCCTGTGGGTTCACAGACATGCTGAACTCCCACCAAACACTGTTGAGGGGCAGGGCTTGGAGGTAAATTATGGATCTCATAATCCATTCTTTTAATTAAAAAAATGAAAACAGTCCAAGAAGTGTAGGACTACAAAACCAAGCAGTGATTCTCCAGCCCTGCTTTCCGGGTTTCTTTATTTGATGTTTTGGTTTTGGGTTTGTTTTGTTTTGAGACAAGGCGTTGCTCCATAGCCCTGGTCAGCTTGGTACTCCTCCATCGCTAAGGCTAGCCTTGAATTCTCAGCAGTCCTCTATACTCGTAGACTCACCTGCAGAAGATCAAACCAATAAACATTTTAACATGAGGGGGCACTGAACAGCTCCTGACAGTTGATGGCTTATGGGGAGGAACTTTCAGGTTCTTATGGGTGTGGTCCCTAGTAGATCACCTATATTCTAGTGAATGGCCCCAGACCCATGAGCTCATGGTCAGCACACACTGGAATCATCAGGTTGTTTTAAAAGATGAAACAGAGCACAGGAAGTTGGGAGGGGTGGGGAGTGGATCTGGGAGGAGGCAGGAGAGTATGCAGGCGAATATGATCAAAATATATTGTGTGAGATTCTCAATGAGTTAATAAAATATTATATTAAAAACATGTTATTAGAAAAAGTGGAACCTCGTAGAAGAACGATAAGCCATTGAGGACTGCCCTTAGGAAGAATCACACACCTGCTCTTCTGTAATGGTTCCTAAGTACACACACACACACACACACACACACACACACACACACACACACGGAGAGAGAGACAGAGAGACACACAGAGAGAGACAGAGTTATCATTTTAGCTTTTATCCAGTGGTCTTTAAACCACTTTTCTTCCCCACATCTGTAAAAGATTTAGTGATTCTCAAAATGGTTTAATTTTACTTTGGCATGCTCTCTTCTTTTTTCCCCATCCTTTCCTAACTTCTGCCAGATTTGGCTAATTTTGCACCATTCCTTGAGTAGCGGTAGGGGTCCAGTGGTTATCTCAGAAACAATGTGGGACCCCTGGGGGAGCTGTGTTCCAGAGAGAATACTCTAGTTTTTGTTGTTCTCACACGGTGTCATGCAGGTACCCAGCACTCTGTACCCCTTTTCAGTGCCCATCATACTGAAGATCACATACTGAAGTTTAATTGGGTGCTCTTAGTGAGTTCCTTTGCCGCTGATCTGTGTTGTCACTCACAGCGGTCTGAGCACTCAGTGATAAGCTATACAGTAAGAAGTCTGTTCCGGAGCAGAGTAAGGCAAGTGTGACATCAATATTCAGAGAGCAGTGAAGGTCAAGGCAAAGCAGAATTTCTGTTCTGGAGCAAGTCCACAAGAGGCCAGGGATTATGAAAGAAATCTGTGGTGTGTTGGCAGAGTTCTGTGGTTTGTCTTTCCCTTCAGTATTGACAAGCTTTTATTCTTTCTTTTTTCTTACTGTTTATTCCTTGTGGCTTACACATCATACATGTCGATCCCACTCATCTCCCCATCCTTCCATATCCGTCCCCTGCCCTTGTATCCTTCCCCCAAAATAAAATAAGATTTAAGAGAAGAGGAGAGAGAGAGAAGAAAGTAAAAAGGAAAAGGGAAATCTCATTGTGGAAACTGTAGTGCAACCTAGTGAGTCACACAGTAAATCCTTTAGTGCATATGTTTCTATTTGCAATGATTGTCTACAGCCAAGAGCCATTGGTCTGGTTTTAGGCCTCTGGTTTCTGCTATGCTATCGATGCTGGGCCCTCACTGGGACTCCTCTTGGATATCCTGTTGTTACACTGTGTCGTGGAGATCCTGCAGCTTTGGGTCTGCAGGACTGACCTCTTCACATGCTCCAGCAGATCATAGATGGGTGGATGTTGGGGTGGGCCAACTTGTAGCCCTGGTTCTGAGCCTGGGTGGTTGCAGGGTTGGCCAGTCTGCCAGTAATCTCTTGTGCTCACCACCAGGATGAACTCCAGCACTGCTCCAGTTAGTTTACCCTATGAAGCAAGGAGCAAGGGGCAGGGCCAATTCTCCTGTTTTCATGATCTCAGGGGTGGTTCACCCACACCTACCCCTTCAGGGCCAGCTCTTCTGTGTTGCCTAGGTGATGTGCAGGGACCACTCTCCCGAGTGCTGCAGCTGGTGAGGGGCAGGGACAGCTCTCCCATTCTCATGGCCTCAGGGCCAGCTCTCCTACCTGCCACAGGTGGCAAAGGGTGGGGAAGGTGACATCGCTTCCTTGCCCACTCCAAATTATAGAAGATGAGGGACAGGACAAGGTCCCCCATTCTCGGCCGCTCACCAGTGCCCCTGTCAACAGGGTCAGCTCTGCTGTGCTGCCCAGGTGAGGTGCAGGGCCTGCTCTCCCAAGTGCTGCAGCTGGTGAGGGGTGAGGTGGGCATGGACAAGATGTCTTAAGGAGGCTGACTAATGGTTCAGAGAAGGGAGGTGGTGCAAAATGACAAGTCGTACCTGCCTTCTTGCAGTGCACAGCATTGAAGTCCTATCCCGCTAGACAAAGTATGTGCTCATATCCTCGGATTCTGTCTGGAAAGTAGACTCACCAGCGAGTCATGCCAACATTTGGGCGGTGCATTTAAATTCTAGTTCCGACTATCCATCTCTGCTGCCAGCCTCCGTCAAGAGTTACATTTTAATTCTCATCTCTCACTCTATTTTTATTGCTCTCTTCCGGGGATTGATTTGTTGCTGTCGTATGTTGTTGACAGAGCCTTTTGAAGATGCTCTCAAGAACCAGCCCCTGGGGCCCGTGTTGAGCAAAGCAGCGTCTGTGGAGTGCATTAGCCCTGTTTCACCCAGAGCCCCAGATGCCAAGATGCTGGAGGAGCTTGATGCAGAACCCTGGTACCAAGGAGAGATGAGCAGGAAGGAGGCAGAGGCACTGTTGCAGGAAGATGGAGACTTCCTAGTCAGAAAGAGTACTACCAACCCTGGTTCCTTTGTCCTCACGGGCATGCACAATGGCCAGGCCAAGCACCTGCTGCTGGTGGACCCGGAAGGCACGGTGAGCACCTTCCAATGGTATCATGACTACCTTTAACCACGTCTATTTACTAGACCTTGCACAGGACTGTATCCACACTGCCTCCTCTATCTGCATGTGCCTGCCAGGGACAGGAGACTTATGTGAAAAGTGGTAGTGATCTGTGCGAGTTATAAAACTTGGAAAATAATCATAGCCCAGGATAAAAGCTTTGGTCACCCACCATGCCTTTTAAGATAAAGAAATGTGGCCCAGGATGATGGCTCAGTGGTTTCGAGTACCACTGCCCTTGCAGAGGACCTAAGTTTGGTTCCCAGCACCCACATTTGGGGGTTCACAACCCCCTCTAACACCAGCCTTGGGGAATCTAGTGCTCTTCTGACCTCCAAAGGCACCTGTACACATAAGTGCAAACACCCACACACACGCACACATACAGTACAGCGATAACAACAGCACTATTCCTTTCTACAATATTCTCAGTGAACATGAAAGTTAAAAGTCTACTGGATTTTCCATATTTATCCCAATTAATTCCCAAACTGGAACTCCCCCCTCCCAGGCTTTTCTGTAGGTTAGAAAGTGTCCCGGGCAGCAGGCAACCCCCATTAATTAGCCTCATGTTTTTCTGGTCAGAGAGGTACAGCCTCCTGACACCAAGGTGGTAGGCCAATTCTGCCTGAGTAATTCTGTGGGTTTGTCTGACTTGTCCATCTGCCAATCAATAAGTGTATTTGACTCTACCCTGGGCACAGTCCAATAATTGCCAAGTTCAGTAAGTGCAATCTAATCAACTTAACCGTTGAACAAATGCCAACACTGTTGTTTTAAAACCTCTTCTCCAGTGAAAACGGAAGGTAAGGTAGAATTACTTAACAGAATTAGATGCGTGATGGGTGGATAGGAATGAGAGCAGTGTTTGGCTGGATTGTGGAGACAGAGGAGGGCAGGGGTCACCTGGTGTGATTCAGGGACCTGAACTGAGATGTCCCCACACAGAGCCCTTAGCATGTTTAAAGCACCTGTCTCTATGGGGCAGCCACGGCCCCAAGTATGTAACATAGTGGGTATAGCGACTTCTTTGCTTGTCTTCTGTGAAGGTTATTTTTTCTTTTAAACATACACCTTCTCTGAGAAAACACATATTAATATCTGATTTGACCCATTTTTTATTCAATAGTGTGTTGTTGAGTTTCCACAAATTTGCAAGCTTTCTGTTATTTCTCATATTCAGCTTTAATCTGTAGGGGTCACATAGAATGCTGGGTGTTTTCTCAATTTCCTTATATCTGTTGAGACTTGTTTTGTGGCTATGTGGTCAGTTCTGGAGACAGTTCCGTGAGGTGCTGAGAAGAAGGTATCTTCTTTTGTGTCTGGGTGAAATGATCTAAAAATATCTGTCAGGTCCATTTGATTTATGGCATCATTGAGCTCCATTGTTTCTCTGTTTAGTTTTTGTTTGGATGACCTGTTTATTGGCAAGAGTGGGGTATTGAAGTTACTCCCTATCACCATGTGAGGGGCACATGATTTTAGCTGTAGCAATGTTTATTTTATAAACATGGATGCCCTTGTATTTGGTGTATAATGTCGAGAACTGCAATAGCCTCTTGGTGGAGTTTTCCTTTGATGAGTATTTAGACTTCTTCCCTGTCTCTTTAGATTAGTTTTGGTTTGAAATCTATTTTTTTTTTCAGATATGAAAAATGGTTACATCAGCTTGTTTCTTTAGTCTGTTTGTTTGGACTATTTTTTCCCAACCTTTTACTCTGAGGTGATGTCTATCCTTGGTGGTAGGGTTTGTATTACTGTGAAGAGACACCATGACCATGGTAACTCTTATAAAGGAAAACATTTAATTGGGGCTGGGTGACAGTTTTAGAGGTTTGGTCCATTGTCATCATGGGGGGAGGCATAGCGGTGTACAGGTAGATATGGTGCTGGAGAAAGAGCTGAGATCTGGATCTGCAGGCCGCAGGAAGAAATAGGCCACACTGGGCTTGACTTGAGCATCTGAGACCTCAAAGTCTGCCTCCAGTAACACACTTCCTCCAACAAAGCCACACCCACTCTAGGAAGACCACACCCCCTAATAGTGCCACTCCCTGTGAGCCTATGTTGGCCATTTTTTTCAAACCATCACAGTATGTTTCATGGATGCAGCAGAAGGATGGATCCTTTTTTTTTTTTAAATCTAATCTGTTAGTCTGTATCTTTTTATTGGGGAATTGAACCCATCGATGTTGAGAGTTGTCAATGAGTACTCTTTATTGATTTCTCTTACTGTATTTTGGTGGTGTGGGCTTTCCCTCTCTTTCAATTTGCCGGTCTGATATTATTTATTCCTTGAGTTTTCTTGGATGTGGTTGACGTTTTCATTTTGTGCTATCTGTAGAGCTAGATTTGTAGATGAATACTACTTAAATTTGGTTTTTATCATGGAATGTCTTTCTTTCTCCATCTACTATGAATGAAGTTTTGCTGGGTATAGTAGTTTGGGCTAGCATATGTGGCCTCTAGTCTATAGAACATCTATCCAGGCCCTTCTGGCATTTAGAGTCTCCATTGAAAAGTCAAGTATTCTTCTAATATGTCTGCCTTATATATTACTTGGTCTTCTTCCCTTTCAGCTTTTAACATTCTTTCTTTGTTCTGTATGTTTAGTGTTTTGATTATTGTGTGTTGTGGGGAATTTATTTTCTGGTCTAGTCCATTTGGCATTAAGTATGCTTCTTGTATCTTCATAGGCACCTCCTTTAGGTTACAGAAGTTTTTTTTTAAGTGATTTTGTTGAGAATATTTTCTGTGCCTTTGACGTATATTTCTTTTCTTTTATATTTATTTATTTATTATGCCTACAATATTCTGTCTGTGTGCATGTCTGCAGGCCAGAAGAGGGCAGCAGACCTCTTTACAGATGGTTGTGAGCCACCATGTGGTTGCTGGGAATTGAACTTAGGACCTTTGGAAGAACAGGCAACGCTCTTAACCACTGAGCCATCTCTCCAGCCCCTGACGTATATTTCTTATCTTTCTTCCATTCCTATTATTTGTAGATTTGGTCTTTCCCTAGTGTTCCAATTTTCCTGGATGTTTTGTGTCAGGAGTCTTTTAGATTTAACATTTTGGGTTTGGCAGAAGAATCCATTTCTTCTATCACCTTCAATGCCCGAGATTTCCTTTTTTTAATCTCTTGTATTATTGGTGAGGCCTGCCTCTGATGTTCTGATTGAGTTCTGTATTATGCAGAGTTCTCTAGAGTCGCAGAACTTATGGAATGAATCTCTCTCCATATGTATATGGAATTTACGGTAATGACTTGTAAGCTGCAGTCCAACTGGTCCAACAATGGCTAGCTGTGAATGGAGAGTCCAAGAATCTAGTAGCTGTTTGGTCCCACAGGGCTGGATGTCTGAGCTTGTCTTCTGTATATGCTGGAATCCCAAAGAACTATGTTCCCATGCCAGGGAAGGAATGGATGTGCTAGCAAGTCGAGGGCAAGCAGGCAAAGAGCAAAAGCCTCCTTTTTCCATGTCCTTATACAGGCTTCCAGCAGAAGGTGTGGCCCAGATTAAAGGTGTGTCTTCTGCCTCAAGATCCAGATCAGAGGTGTGTCTTTTCACCTCAAAGGTCCAAACTAGAAGTGGATTCACTCACTTCAAACCAAGCAGAATATCTCTCATAGGTGTGCCCTCCATTTCTGGATTATGGTTTATATCAGATATAGTCATGTTGACAACCGAGAATAGCCATTAAAAGTTCCTAACTTCCAGTTTTCCCTCAGTTTGGGTTTTCTTTATTGATTCTATTTCCACTGTCATGTCTTGAACAGTTTTCTTCATTTCATTCCACTGTTTGTGTTTTCATAGATTTCTTTAATGGATTCATCCATATCACCTTTTAAGCTCTTTAATAAGCTCATAATAGTGATTTCGAAGTCCTTGTCTTGTGATTCAGCTATGTTTCATTTCTCAGGGCCAACTGTGGTAGGCTTGCTTTGTTCTTGTGAATACATATTGTCCTGGCTGTTATTGACTGTGTCTTTATTTAGACTGATATCAGGGTTTGGATTGATTGTAGTTCTAGGTGCTGCTATCTAGTCTTGTCTTTGTTAGGTGGGTTTTCTGCTCCTTGGTTTCTTTGCCCTTTCTAGAACTCAAGAGAGTGTGGTGCCTCTATTTACCTGGTGAGGAGTGCTTCTGAGGCCTTACCAGGTGTGACCACTGAGGGATCCCAGCAGAACTTGTTTCTAGGTATTGGGAGCTGACACACAGGAATGGCGATGGGCTAGAAGGGAAGCTCGGTCTGCCACATGATCTGTGGAATCCACAGGGAGTGGAAAAAGAAGGGAAAGACAGGCCCCTGCTGATGGCCTGCCGCAGGACTAGGAGTGAGACTCGGAATTGGAACTAGAGGATGAAAAGAAGAATAAAGATTGCCTACCTGATTCCCTGGTCACCTTGGTCAGAGGGTTTCCAGAGAGAGGGAGAGGGAGTGGGGGAGGGAGGGAGGGAGGGAGGGAGGGAGGGAGGGAGGGAGGGAGAGTGTGTCTGTTAGAAATTGGCCAGGGTAAGGAAGGGAGGCTGTTAGAGAGGATTAGCTTAGTCCCCTAGGAGTGAGGTCAGAGAAGAAGGAGAGCACACGTCAGGTGGTCTACCCAAGCTGGGTTTGAGACTGGAAAATTGGAATTTGGAAGATGAGAAGGAGAGTGAATCTCACCTGCCTGATTCCCTGGCCAGCTTGGACAGAAGGTTTCTGGGAGAGAGTCTGTGTGATTGCTTTTATTGTGAGCAACATTGAAGCTTAGCAAATGTTTCTTCAGCATGTTTTGACAGAAAATGTGATTTTTTTTTCTTAAGCCCATAAACATGGGTTCTGCACGGGTAGTGATGGAAGAAGGTCATTGGTTAAATAAAAAGAAACTGCTTGGCCCTCATTGGTTAGAAGATAGGTGGGAGGAGTAAACAGAACAGAAGGCTGGGAGGAAGAGGAAGTGAGCTCAGACTCCACAGCTCTCCTCT